TCCTTAAGTCCAAGGGTAAAGCCTTAACCAAGTTTAAAGGTTGGAAAAACCTGGTTGAAAACCAAGTTAATAAGAAGGTAAAAGCCCTTAGGACAGATAACAGATTAGAATTCTGTAACCTAGAGTTTGACTCTTACTGTGTATGAGAGGGAATTTTAAGGCATAGGACTGTTAGGGGGACCCCTCAGCAAAATGGGGTTGTTGAGAGAATGAACAATACCCTACTAGAGAGGGTTAGATGTCTTTTATTCACTGCTAGTCTACCAAAAACCTTTTGGGGGGAAGCACTAGGTACAACAGCCTACCTAATTAATAGAAGTCCCTCAAGCTCCATAGATTTTAAGTGCCGTGAAGAGAGGTGGTATGGGAGGAGACCATCTCTTGAACACCTGAGAGTGTTTGGTTGTGCTGCATATACACACACCCGGGATGGGAAGTTAGAGCCAAGATCCCTTAAGTGTGTCTTTCTAGGGTATCAGGAAGGAACCAAAGGCTATAAGCTTTGGGAAAGGGCTACCCTAGGGGTTAGAGTGATTGTTAGTCGAGATGTGATTTTCAATGAATTTGTTTTCCTTTCCAAATCTGGTACTAACAATGCAAATAGCTCACAAGAAGATTTTAAAAATCCTGGACAAACTGGGATAACTCAGTTTGAGGTGGAGCCTGTAACTTACTTTAATCAACATATTCAAACAGATGAGACTGGCCCACTTGAGGACCAGCTACAACCAACCCAAGAGTAGGAGGATGAAGAAGACCTTCTTGTGAATACTGAAGTGGATCAAAATGGTGATCTGGCCCAATATCAATTATCCAGAGACAGAGTCAAAAGGGAAATCAGACCTCCCACAAGGTACAACTATGCTGACCTGATCTATGTAGCACTCCTAGCTGGTTTAGAAATACACAGATCTGAACCTGATACTTATGTTGAGGCAATGAGATCAAGGGACAACAAAGAGTAGGTGGCTACAATGAAAGAGGAAACGACGTCACTACACCTGAACAACACTTGGACACTTGTCCCAAAGACCAGAGATCAGAAGTTGGTGGAATGCAAGTGGCTCTACAAATTGAAAGAAGCAATAAATCAATATGATCCACCAAGATTCAAAGCCAGGTTAGTGGCCAAGGGCTACACACAAAGGGCAGGTATTGATTTCACCGAAATCTTGTCACCTGTAGTTAGCTTTAAAACTATTAGACTCATGTTATCAGTTGTTGCACAATATGATCTAGAGATAGAACAATTGGATGTTAAAATTGCTTTTCTGCATGGTGAGTTGGATGAAAGGATTTTCATGAGCCAACCCATAGGTTTTAAGGATAAAAAATTGCCTGATTATATATGCTTACTGAATAAATCACTGTATAGACTTAAACAGTCCCCTAGGCAGTGGTATAAGAGGTTTGATGCATTCATAGTAGGAAGTGGATTCACTAGAAGCATGTATGATATTTTTTTCTATTTTGCCTGCATCAATAACATGCCAATATACCTTCTGTTATATGTAGATGACATGCTACTGATTAGTAAGTCCATGTCTCAGATTAATGAACTAAAAGCAAAATTAAGTGTTGAATTTGATATAAATGACTTAGGTAGAGCAAAGAAAATCCTAGGAATGATGATTGATAGAGATAGGAGTGCAAATACCCTTAAACTTCATCAATTCCCATACCTATAGAAACCGGTCTCTAAGTTTGGCATGGCTGACTCCAAAGTTGTAACAATGCCCCTTGCAAACCATTTCATACTCAGTAAGTCACAATCCCCAAAAACAGAATTTGATATGCTGAAAATGGAAAATGTCCCTTATTTGAATGCCATAGGTTCTGTGATGTATGCCATTATAAGCATCAGACCAGATTTAGCTTATGCAATATCACTATTGAGTAGATTTATGTCAAATCCTGGAAATGAATATTGGAATGCTCTAAAGTGGTTGCTTAGATATATAAATTGCACTGTTCAGATTGGTTTGGTTTTCTATAAAAGAAATGCATAGCTTGATTTGGTTGGGTATGTAGATGCTGATTTTGCAAGTGACCGAGATTCTAGGAAGTCTACTACTGTATACTACTTCACATTGGGAGGCACTTGTGCTAGTTGGAAAGCACAGCTGCAACCACTGGTTGCACTTTCAACCACGGAAGCAGAGTACGTCGAAGTCTCAGAGGCTTTCAGGGAAGCAACATGGTTACAGGGAATTCTAAAAGAAGCAGATTTGTTGAATGGCACAACAACAGTCTACTTAGACAGTCAGAGTGCCATCCACCTGAGTAAGAACCCAGTGTACCATGAAAGAACAAAACACGTGGATATCAGGCATCACTTTGTCAAAGACCTGGTCGCAAAGGGAAAAATTAATCTCCTGAAGGTACCAACTGAAGAAAATCCAGCAGACATGGGAACCAAAGTGGTGACCACAACCAAGTTCAAGCACTACTTGAACTTACTTCGCATTAGTTAGCCAATTTCCGGAGCTAAGAAGAAATATGAGGAAAAAAAAACCTTATTGCACTGAAGGAGTTCCAGCAGAAAAGGGGAAGGCAGAATGTTGGCTTCAAGGTGGAGACTGAAAGTGTTATGAAGCCAAACGACGTTGTTCTTATTTAGTTAAGTGAATCCTGGGCGTTGATTCAAGACAGATCGTGCGGCTCACAATCGCTGATAGTCAATGATATAAAAGAGGGCAAAACAGTGAAAGAGTTTATCGGGTTAGTTTGTTCTTGTTAGGGTTCTATATTAAGTGAATGAGCAATCGATTGGGGTTTAATTGCTGCAGTTATTTTTCGTTGTAATCTAGGCAGGATTGTTAAAAGGGTTGTGTTTCCTTTTGAGGCTAGAATAGTTCTCTAAAATCTTGCAAGTTACAGGTACAAATTGGAGTGATTAGGCCTGGGTTGAGATATTGCTCTGATTCAGTCGATTGAGTGTGTAATCCTTGTGTAATTGTTGGTTAATCCTAGTGCAGTGAGTCTCCATATTTTGGAGCTCAACGTGGATGTAATCTATCCATTATTGGATAGGTGAACCACAGTAAATCTTGGCTTGTGCGTGTGTGTTTGATTCTTGAATCTTGTTTGTGTTTGATTGATTTGTTTATTGATTAGTTTAGACTCAGGTTACAACAGTAACCAAAATAAATTAGTTACACAAAGTTTGGATATTAGAAATTTGATAGTGGCAACTGCAACATTAGTTGCAAAATTGTTTTATTTATTTATTTTTTTTTTTTGGCAACTACTAAAATATTAGTCAAATAAAAAAAGCCTATGTTTTTAGAAACAATTACTAAAAGTCCATTTGATATAAACCCAAACTTAAAACCAAATCCCTAATACCCCAATTTCCTTATTCTTACCCGAGTCCTCTTCTTCTCCATGCACTCCAATTTCCCTCTTCACTTTACCATCTCCTTGATTCTACTTTTGCCGCATACATTACCCCATTGAAGGTAACTTGTTTTTATTTTTATGTCAAAGCTCATTCTTTTACAAATGGTATTTCGGTTTTATTGTTTGATTTTTAATCGGTTTCTTCACAATATTTGCTTTAATTTGTTTAAGCATCTGTTGTTTGTGATGTTCCTAAATGGGTGGCTTTAACTTCGTAATGGGTGATTTTACTTTTATCTTCTTTTTCATTTGACATTGCAATAGCTATTATAATTATAGTGGGTGCTTTAAATTCGTTTATTGTTGCTGATAAACGAATGGTGTTTGATAATATCTATTTATTTTCTCATTTTGGTATTTTATTTTTCTTTTGAAGGAGAAAGATTATACTACTTAATTTGACAACTAAATTCTGCGGTGGCAGAATTATTAAACATTATGCGTGTGTGTATATCACCGGCATCATCTAATAGGAAAGTGAAAGAAATATGCTTGAAGTTGAAATGTTAGATGGAAATATGACTTATTTTCCCTTTACATTTTCCATGTCAAAACTAAACTCCGGGTTTGTTTTGTGGGTCTTTAGGTGTTTTTGTTTTGGTTTACACATGGGTTTTGTGAATGTTTGTGTGCAAGCTGCGACTCAAATTTTGAATCAGTTGTCAAACAAGAGAAAAGGAAAGTGGAAATTAGCTTTTTGTCATATAAAACTGGAAACGCTGTCGTATGGCCTTTATATGAAAAGGATCTTCACTACTAGAAAAACCCCCTCCCTTGATAGAATGAGTTGACAGATTTTCTTAACCGTTTTAAAAAACTATCAAGAATTGTAATTTTTAACTTATTATTGACCATTTATGAACTGTCAAGAATTTGAAATAATTCTTAACCGTTTTGACAGTTATTTACTGTCAAGGAATTGGTTAAAAATAAATTTTGCAAATCTTGTTCTTCACTATTGTAGTGTCGAGTTAAATATATATTAAAAAAAAAAATTGCCTAAGACTTTTCTCGCCCATTTTTTGCCACCAATTTTTCATTCACTACTCCCATAATTTTTTCCTTAAAACTTATGCGTACCCCGTATTTCACTCATTTTTGCAAACCCTCATAGTCAACCTATTTTCGACACTGGAAAAAAGTTATTGTTTCTACCACTCTCGTTCAATAGATGACTACTCGCTTAGTGATTGACGCTTACTCTGTGTTTATTTCGACGGAGTTTGTTAATTTTGTGAGTTCTTGTAAAGACATATCCTCAACACCCAAATGTAGAGGTGTTTAGAAAAATGTATAAACTAAATCAAACCAGAAACCGAAGTGGTTTTCTAGTTATCGGGGAAATCGATTCGGTTTTGGTCCATAGAAATAGAGAAAATCGAATTTCCGATTTTATTAAAAAAAATAAAAAGTAAACATTTTTTCGTTAAAATTAAAGAAAAACAATTTAAATTAAAAACATTATAAATCTAAAATTAAAGAAAATCAAAACCTCAAACCCGGTTTAAAAAAAGAAAAACAAATGATAAAATAAAACAAATTTTCCCACCTCAAAATTTTCACCAAGGCAAATTCGCCCACCCATTTTTCATTAATCAAAGCTAAGGTTATAAACTAATAGAATAACCCATTTCTTCTGCCCAAATTCCGCGCCCAAAAACCCATTCTTCCTCCCAAAACGAGAAACATTTCCCTCTCTTCCGCCCAAAATCTCTCTTTGTCACTCTTCCACTAAATTGCAGAGGTTTCTCGTTGCGACAATCAATCTTCTTCTCAAATCTTTTCAATCAATCTTCTAATTGCTCTTTTCTTCTCAATCTTCTTCTCGTTGGGATTTGTCTAATTGGTCTGTCCTTCTCAATCTTCTTCTCTTTGCGATTAGGCCAAAAGGTTGAATGGATTAATCAATCTGGGCTGTTGAAGAGAAGAAAGGGTTTGTGAAGGGAGAGTTAGGGCATTTCGGTCATTGTGAAGCTGATCTGTGTGGGAACAATGAATCTTCAGATTGTATGGAAACTATTGATAAAGAATGTGGTGGATGATGAGTAATGAAGGTGGCCATTACTGTTCGAAAAAGAGTGATGATATTTGCTGTGATGTTTGTGGCCAGGTATTTTGTTTTCCACTTTTTGAATTTGTTTATTTATAATGCTTTCATTGTTGTTTATAAAGAACAAGCTTTGTGGGTGTGGTAATTTTTAATTTTTTTTTAAGTTCTTAGTTTTTAGCGTTGCTAGTTGCCATTAAAATGAGTTTGATGTGCCTTTCGTTGCAGCTTTGTATGATTTTTTGGATTCAAGTTTTGGGTGATTATTGTTCTTTAAAAAAGATAAATAAATAAAAACCCTTTCGTTTTTATTACTATTTTTTAGGTGTTAGGCAAGCGGAAATGACGGCAGTAACAATAAGCTTCAACTCTATTCTTACTGGAGGAGCTCAAGTTCTTGTCGTGTTTTTTTAATCAATTTATTGTCTTTCTACTCTTCAATTGAAAAGTATTTGAAATTTGGTTCTGGGTATTTGAGTATTTGATTGCAGGTTTAGATTATGAACATAAAGCTGTGAACTTGGTGAAGGAAGAGCAAAACAGTCCTGGTGAGATTTTGTTTTTGGTTTTTGAGGATAATTACAATACCAGATGGCCAAAATGGACGCGGGTTTGACTTTGATTTGTTTGATAATTGGAGTGCTTTATTTTTTTATTTTTGTGTGTGTGTGTGTGTGTGTGTGTGTGTGTAGAGTTTAGAAAGCCCAATCCTCTTGGTTATGTGCCGGTTTTGGTAGATAGAGATGTTCTTCTTTCTGATTCTTTTGCTATTTTACTGGTCAGCTATTTGATACTCTTTAATTTTATATTATCTTGGTGTCTCTTTTGTTGAATATGGAGGGATTTTTAGTATAAATTGGCCTTGCTTGTAGTATCTGGCAGAGAAGTATCTTCAGCATCCATTGTTGCCTTCTGATCTTAAGACAAAAGCTATCAATTTTCAGGTTAATTTCTATTTCCTTTCCCTTTATTTATTCCTATTATTGTTTTCAATGACATATTTCTGTAATTCAGTAACCATTGTAAAGAAACTGGTTTTTTGTTAATCAAGAATCCTGCTTCTGCTTTTAGAATTTGTCTGTCATGATTTTTAAATTTGCAGTAGATTGTTCAATTTCATTTTTTGTCACTTAGACGTTTTTCCATGATTTGGGGTGGGCTGGGTATAGTTTTGTATGTAATTTGATTTGTCCTGTGATTATTTCATAGCAATTTGATTATCATTGAAGCTAGTGAATTTTCAGTTATTACGTAGAATTGGGAATGTGGTATTTGGGGAATGTGTTATTTTATGTGATTCATTTGAATGTATAACAAGCTTGACGTATATGTAGTCAGCTTCTAGATCCTCATATCTTTAGTGTTTATTTTAGTTTAATGTATATTTGGTGTGTATTTTGCCTGATGTATATTTTGCCTTTCGTTTTTAATGGATTCCTTTTTTCTTTAATGTATATTTGCTCTTGCTCTTTGGCTCACTTCTGCTAGTGTCGCAACTGTTTAAAAAAAAGTTACGATGAAGCTTCGCTGTAAATACATATCTTTACAGATATTTAAGAACTTTTTACCATGTCAGTAGTCTTTCGTTTATAAAAATTTGTGTTTTCCAAGAAAAAGAAACAATTTTGGGGTAAAAGGTAGTTCATATTTTATTTGTTTATTCCACTTTTTTAGTACATTTTTTGAAACCAAATTGACTGATATCCAGATTGACTCTCTTCTTCTTAAGAGTTAAATTAAGGGTAAGAGGTAGTTCACTTTTAAGCTTCTTAGTTATGAAGGTTAGTGTAGTGAAGTTTTCAGTTTTGAGGTATAGTGATTTGCTTGAATTGTGTTAGAAATGGTTGAACTAGATAAGAAATTTGAGTTTTGATATACTCATATACATGTGCAGATTGTTGTGTTTGAAATGAGCACTTTGATTCTCCTTTTTCTGATAATATTGCAGCTGTATTATGACTTTTAACTTTTGACTTCATAATCACATCTTCTGGCAGTTTGTTGCTGTTAGTCTGGGACAAAAAATCATGTTGAATGTGCTCATTGTTCTCCAGATGTGCAGCTTCTTATTCTTTCTCGTTTGATGGATTTACTGAGGTATTTATGAGCAAATATTATTTTCTACAGATTTCTACAACTCAAGTGTTTGTTGGATCTTACCATGTCATCTTTTCTTTGCAAAATTAAAAAAGCGCAGCCTTCAGTTAAGGTATTAGTACTGTTGTGAACTCTCTTTTATTCGTTGTCACACCATCTAACTCCTTTTATGTGTTAAAGCATTAGTACAAGTAGCCCAAATTTAGGTAATACCTCTGCGACTTTCCTCCTTTGGTCAATGAAGTGTAATCAATTATTGACTTAATGAAATTAAATTGAGATTTTGAAAAGCATGGGAAATATGTAACATTTGAGAAAAGATGTTTTTAAAGATTATATCAACATGTAATCTTTAATTTGTAAATAAATTTTAGAAAAATTTGCATATAGAAATGTGTTGCACTGATGTCAAGATCCAGCAATCATATAATATATATGTTCAATAACTTAAACTTTTGACTTAAATTAGAACACTAATTGTTAGTCATAGATTTAGAGCAATGACATGGTTTAATAGTTTAAATGTAAATTAATCACATATGACATATAGCTCGTTCAATAAAATACATGAAGAGTACTTATTGTATGCACTCAATAAATGGTCTTAAATGTAATTATAATTTATATATGTAATTGTTTAGTTTCTTGTTGGACTTATTGATTATGCATTGAATTGATGGTAGGAGAAAATGATTGAGATGCAAGATGAAACTTAGGCTGGGGAGAGTGCAAGAACTGAAGCTGAAATTTGTGAGGAAGTACTTGGTAAAGCTTCTGGCTTCAACCAGAAATTTGCTTTTTGTGTGACTCAGCAGCATGATACAGCAGAAGCAACAAAGTTAAGGCGCATAGTTGAACAACAAAATAGTATTAAAGATTTAGGGGAGCATCTCACACAATTTGATCAACAGAAGAGAAAATCAAAATGTTTGAAGAACAACAAGCTCGTATGCTGGGGATGCAGACTTACATGACTATAGCAGTTGCACACGCGCAACCTGCTCCCGCTCCAACTCGACTGCCATCTCCATCTCCATCTCCATCTCCAACTGATGACAAGTCTTCCTCATCCGTTACAGCTGCTTTTAGAGCCTTAATTGGTAACGTTTGAGATGTTAACATTGATGGTTTGTTTTTTGTTGTGTGGGCAATAGATATTTTGACATGGGGGTAGGCTATCTTTTTGGACTTTTTGGGATTGCTTACACATATCCTTAGATGGTGTATATATGGGGTGGGCATTTTGTTTGTTGGAGTTATGCACAGATAGATAGGTACCGATGAAAATGAGTGCATGTTTTCTTTTTTTGGTTATGCACACATGATAGAGCATTTTAGATTTTTATTGTTTATCATGCATAAAACTCCCATGTATAGACTATTAATATATATATGAAATGAAGATATTTTATGTTATTGATCCATATTTTAATATTGTCTCACTCTTATTTTGTTGAGGTTGAATGTATGGATATTAAAAGTTACATCTATTAAAAATGTTGCCAAATTAAATGTTAACCAATTAGCAACTAAAGTCAATATTGATTGACAAATAATTGGTTTCCTAAAGTCAATACATTTGCCATCTAAAATCGACTATTTGCGTATAAAACATATTCTATAACTAATTTTATAATAGCAAAAAGTAATTTATCATATTTGGATTCCACATTCAGCGTCTAAAATTATTAGAATTAACTATCAAATTTTTGTCACTAAAAGATACAGTCGTCTATTAATAAAATAGTTGCGAAAACCTTTTACGAAATTACTCTTACACCTTCAGAGTTTAATTTTTGTGGCATTCGCGACAAATTATTAGTCACTAAAAGGTATATTTTGCAACTAATTGATTAGTTGTGATACAATTTTACTAAATTACCCTTGAACATTTAGCATCTAAGTGGGGGACTATTTCAACCATCAATTAGCAATTAATTTGCTAATCGCCAAAAGAAAATTTTCCGCGTCTAACCAACTTTTTAGACGCCCATACTTTATGTGAGCAATTTTGCAACTACGTGGCGACTACGAAATTTAGACGTGCAAAACATTTAACATCTAAATTTTACTATTGACGTCTAATTTTGCTAGACGTCGAAAGCCATTTTTCTTGTAGTAAGCAGAATTTAAAATTTTCTTTCGATTAAAAACCCTAAGCCCAAAATCCCTTATACCGATTATGCTATTTACATGTTATAAACAATTAAATCACACCAGGTTTGATTTAATACTTTTGTTTGGAAGCTCTTTCTCTAGATTAATATCGATTTCACTCTACTCCAAGTGTAGGAATGAACTTATGGTAATCTACACGAAGACAAGAAGTTCACTCAATAATTTTGCTAGAAATTAATTGAATGATTCAAGGGAAATTTGGGGCTGATTTTTCAGAGAAAAATAATCTCTCACTATGGGAAAAACAGCTAGGGTTTGTGTTATATTAAAAAATTGATTTTAGTTGCCTTTTTATAGTGCAACTAAAACCCTATCCTTTTTAGGAATAATTCAAATCCTATTCCTTAATTGGAATAGACATCTATTCCTATTTGGAATATATATTTCCTTTTTCCCAAATAAGTATTAATGGTATTTAATAATAATAATGGTTTATTAATTACCTAATATATACATATATATTAATTTTAATTTTAATAATAATTTATTTATAAATATATTTACACCAATAAATATATAAATAAATAAGTAACCTTACGAATTAAATTCCAATATAAAATTGGACATAGGCAACAACTTTTCAGAAAATTTAATTACACTGTAAGATTACCAAAATACCATTTCGTCATAAAATGACGGAACTGCCCTTTCATTTAATCTTCCTTAAATTGTTTTTTAAGCGTGTCACCTGTAGACTCCTTATCATATTGGTAGTGAGTAATATCGTGATTAACAACCTGTTAACTGTCTCATTACACACATACCAAGATTGGCCTCTAACAAGGCATTATGACCACCATTCGGATTCAACTAGCTATCTACAGTATGGTTACCGTTCAATTCAATCCCTCAATCATCTATTATCTCTTTAAGGTTTGAAGCATAGAAATAGTGTCAACTTCAAGTATGAAATACCTTGAGATATTTGTATTCGGTTATCGGACCAACAACCAAATGAAATTGGATTCGAGCAACAACTCAATTCCACTGTGACCACATATTTAAGGTCGTTGCCTTTTATCGAATATCTCATTGAGTGATTTCTCCTGTACCCAAGAGTGATGAATCATTTGTCAACCCACCGTAACAATAGTGTACTTCTTAAAGTAACCAATCACTACCATACTGATAACCCTAAATAGGATTACGTTAGGCTAGTGTTAAACTACACCAATATTTACACACGACGCTCTGGTGATCTAAAAGTCTAAGGTCACATGCACCAACATTCTTTGGAGGATGTATTTCATAGACATCAAGGTTATAATTTATATGGAATCCTATATATGGGCCAGTCTAGTGAACTCATAACAAACACCCATGCATTGTACCAAGTTGTCACCAAACAACTTTAACATGCAAGATCTGTCATGACCTTTCGGTAGGGTCGTTCAACACTATCATAACCTTACCATATAATCTGTGCCCTAGGTCAGAATAATATTAAGGCTATGGACATTTCTAGAATGGTCACCATATGTGCTCATAGGGATCTCACAATCAAGACTTATGACTGCTTGATTACGTCATCACAATTTCACCACTCTAAGGACATATATTATTATATACATTATAAGATACGATTTACATAATATAAATTAATTAGTAGAATAACATGATACATAGAGTCACATTACAAAATGCTATTGGATCTAGGGCGCCTATTCTAAAAATCTCCCACTTACACTATAGCTAATCATTCATGTATTTAATATCAAATGAAGCTAAGTGCTTATCATGTTTCTGTTGCGATAGAGCTTTCGTAAGCAGGAGTACTACGTTGTCATCGGTAGGTACTCTACTTATTTGCAAATCTCCTCTCTAAACGATTTTATTTGATCAGGTGGAATCATCTGAGCATGTGTTTGGATCTTTCATGAGACTGTGGTTCTTTGGCTTAAGTAATGGCCCAATTGTTGTCACAGAATAATTCTTTTGGTTCAACAATGCTGGGAACCACACCAAGTTCAATAATGAACTTCTTGATCCAAACCGCCTCTTTGGCTGCATCTGATAATGTAATGTACTCAGCCTCCGTTGTAGAATCAACTATAGTACTCTGCTTTGAGCTTTTCTGGCTCACTATAGCTATATTAAGACAAAAGACAAAACCTAATTGCGATTGATAATCATCTTTGTCGGTTTGAAAACTGGCATTACTGTATCCTTTTATAATGAGTTCATCTTCTCCTCCATAAACCAGTCCTCTCCAAGTACTTAAGAATGTTCTTGACTGTTATCCAGTGATGCTCACATAGATCCGATTGATATCTACTACCAATGCTTAATACACACAAGACATCAATCCGATTACATAACATGACATATAGTATGGATCCAATGACGAATGCATATGGAATCTGATGGGACCATCAGATTTGTGGTATACAATAGGAAATCCAAGAGAGGCAAGTAGGGGATTATGAGGTGTAACAAGAAGATTTGGTTGAGCGAGGTGTTAAAAAATAGTTATTGGGTGGACAGATGGTAGTAATGGGTGGGATATGAGAAGAATTCTGTTAGGTAGAAAAGAGAATAAAAGGGAGGAAGGATCTCAAAAAATTACAAAGGAAAATAGGGGAGGAGGGTGACCCTCGAAGTTCAGTTGGGTTCTTGATATTTTTCTGTCAGTTTTGTTAGTTTCTTTTGTGTTGGATTGAGTTTGACTGATTCCATTCTTGGTTTAGTTTTATCCTCATCTTGTGTTAATATATAAAAGTTAAGTTCTGCATTTCCGGTTTATTAGTGTCATTCTCAATTTTGTTGCTTGAAATACTTGTTCTTTACACTATCTGAATTGATTGAGTAAGCCGGGATCCAACAAATTGGTATTAGAGCGAGGTGAACTAGGGAATGGTAAGTACGAGAATGGAGGCAAGAGTTGAAAATGTGCAAAGGGAGATAGCTAAGATTGGAGTGGACATGGGTACCAAGACATTGCTCAATAGAGTTACAAGGCTGGATGAGAAGGAAAGAGGAAGAAGAAGTCAGAAAAGAAGAAAGGGTAAATCGACTAAGGTGCCAAAAACTTCAGAGATGGGTAACAGTCAAAATCGAGGTGGTCTGAATGGAGTGGAAAATCAGGATGGTTAGAGGGGTTAGGAAATTGGAGCCAACAACAAGGAGAATCTAGTAATGCCAATAACACCATCTGGGGAGAATTTGGTGGCTGCAAGTTAAAGTTACCAGTTTTTTTTTAGCGACGATCCTTATGGGTGGTTGTTTAGAATCGAACAATATTTTACGGTCAACAAAATAGGAGAAACAGATAAGTTGATAGCGGCAACAATCTGCATGGAAAGCGACATTGTCAATTGTACCAGTGGATATAGGTAAGAGCTCCGGTGGTGACATAGCTGACCTTCAAGTTGGCTCTTCTTTATCGATTCAGTGGATCCCAAAAAGGGAACCCATATGAGATGCTCATAGGAATCCAATGGATAGGAATCGTGGAAGACTACCAGCAGCGATTTGAGGCTGTCATGGCACTGTTGGTGGAGGAGAAGGAAGAGATTCTGATGGCCGCATTTCTTAATGGGTTGAAGGCTGATATTTGGGCCGAGATAAAATTGACCCAACCCAATTCCTTTATCCAACTTTTGGATTTGGCCCAAAGAGTGGAAGAAAAAAATTGGGCCTTGGAGGATTTATGAGCTGGACCAAGAAGATTTGGAAAAGTATTTAGGTTTGTTGGGTGTGGGCTTGGATCAGTGGATGATGGATTGGGCTTGGGGCTTAATGTAGTTGGGTTGGGGTCGGGTCAAACTCACGGGTCACAATAAGTTGGGTCTAAGACCCAATCACCCTTCAACTTGAATCAAAATCCCGTCAGATCTTTTCCATCAACGAGCAGCCATGATTATCTGACCAACCTTCATAGAACAGCCGATCTTGGGATGACCGTCAATCCAACATCATTCTGATAGCAAGTCACTAGAGTAAAGTGTACCTACATTGCGGCATGTCGACTCTAACCCATTTTTCCGGCGGAACTTTCCCTTTAAACACATGACAGAGGCCAAAATATAGTAGAAGAAAGAACAAGGTATATGATTCGTATCAAGGCACAGATGTGGAGAACAACAATTCCAAGTTATTTTGGTTGATGAGGAAACGAGTGAAGAGAAAGAAAACGAATAAAAGGTACCAGAACCATAATAGAATCCCATCGAACTCATCCTAAGTTCAATAGTGAGTGTCAACGGACCAAAAACATAGAAGTTGAGAGGGAAAATTAACGACAGAGAA